AGCAGACGCCTAGTGCACACTCTCAAGCGTCTACTCAAAACATAGAGCAGCACTCTCACACATTCATTCTTGAACCTGAGGACAATGAAGAGGACACTGCTACCCTGGCCGATGTCTTCATTAGGGAAAGAAGAGCAACAACCAAGTTCATAAGTAATGCTGAAGTTCGACTGCACAAACGGCTCATCAAGATGAAGAAGCAACTTGAAGCAAGACTGGACATGAGGTTTGCAGAAGTCCACTGCCATCTCAAAAACAACCTAATGATCCAGCAAGTGTTCAATTCTGAACAAAAAGCTCAACTCAGCATCCAACTCTCCAGGCAACCAGCTCAAATGGAAGCTATACACAAGGAGCTTGAAGATCTACGCGCCAAAGACAAAGCACTAGAAGACCAAATCCTCGCCTCGCTAAGGGAACTAAGACACCAAGAGCTAGCAGGTGCCTCCCAACCCTCAGCAGAGCCCTCCGGGCAGGTACACTCTCTTCCCTCTTTACCTCCCAACCTTGAGCAGGCCCTCCAAACAATTCAAGAGCATGAGGCTTACATCAACAAACTAAGGAATGAGGAGTTCCCTGCCATGTTCAAGCTCTCTCAGAAATTCCTTATGGACCAACAGGCTCATGCTAGAGCCTATGAACAGCTCACTAAAGACGTTGCTCACAACTTTCAAGTTCTTCAAAAGGCTACTCAGGACACCTTTTGGAAGCAAGGGTCAGACTTTCAGAAACTAGGTCAGAGCCTAGTAGCTACACAGGACAAGCTTCAAAGATTAGAGAATGAGGTCAAAGATGAAGTCAAAACAGATCTTTTGGACATCAATAATCATATCAAGGCCCTGTCCATTGAAGTATATGGTCTATCAAGGAGGCAAATTGAAGATCCTGACTCTGACCCAGAAATAGAAGCACTCTTCAAAGAGAGTGAGACCCCTGCTGATGATGCCAAAAAGGGGGAAAGGACAACTCAAGCAGGTCCCTCTTTCTCCAGATCAGCAGCAGCAAGAAAAGCAGCTGCAACAAGAAGGAAGAACAAGCTGCTCCAAGAAGAAGCAGAGATCAGAAAAAGGAAAGCAGAAGAAGCCAAGAAAAAGCTGGAAGAAATCAACAAAAGCAGACTTCAAGAAAAGTCCGAAAGTGACTAAAAACTATTGTACTTTAGACTGTAGACCAATGTACAATATTCTCAATGAAAATCAATAAAAACAATTGTTTCTTGTGTTGTATAGTTTTGGCATCATCAAAAAGGGGGAAACTGTTAGTACCCAATTTTGATAGATTTTGATGATGCCACTATACTTTGCACCCGTACATTGTGTCTAAATTAAATTCAAATATTAGCATTAAAATGTGACAAAATAAATGTAAAATTTTTGGAACTAATAAAATTACACTGGAAAGTCAAAATGCAATAAGGTAAAAATTCTTTTACCTTAAAAGGATATTTAAATCCTACCAGTATAATTCTATTAGCACACAAAAATTAAATGTCACATAAACATATACATTGAATGTATATGATTGAAGACAAAACTTGACCGGCATTTAATACCGGATCAAGTACTGGGGCCGCGGCATGGGACGCACACATAATGCAAGACAAAGTGATCAGCTGCAAATTAATGCTCCAGCACAAGAAGACAATTGTACTACTTATCCTTGCCAGAGATCTTCAACGACAAGGATTAATTCATCTCAACCAACGGATGAGATTAATCAACCATGAAGGCCTATAAATATAGGTAGAAGCATGAGTTCGAAAATAAGTTTGAGCATCCTAAGTAGAGAAATACTTTCATCAAAGCATATACGAGATATCTAGCAAAAGAGAAAGTGCAAACTCAACTTTACTCTCTGCTTAGCCTCATGCTTCACTAAGCTCTTAGATTAGATCAATACTTTTACATTTTTAGATCTTAGTTCATAGTTGGAGGTTAGAACTTTCTTGTAACATTTCACAAGTGGTTGTAAACACTTAGGAGAACAGTTGTTCGGATCCTAAAGTGTAGTTAGATAGATAGAGTACCTTTTGATCCCCACTGGATCAATTGAGAAAAGTCTAAGGACTGAGTAACTTTGAGTGGTGTTATACTCATTGTGAAAAACCTTCAATCTAGGCCTAAGAGTTGTAAAGGCTAGATTGGCACTAAGTGTATTGGGCTGAATACTTTAGTGGAAATCCATTTGAAAGAGAATGGGACTGGACGTAGGAGGATTACACCACCTCTGAACCAGGATACATCGTGTGTTGATTTCACTTCATTCAACAAAACACACACCCAGCACTTCTCGTATAAAGATTGTAGTTTGCCAGCAGCATCTTAAGCAGTTGTCTTAATTGACCCAACTGCTTATCCTTCTGCTTAATTACTCACTCTCTTTGAGGCTATCTCCACACAGTTCACTTGCTAAAGCATTACCAAAAAGGTTGTTCTATCAGTTCTCGGAAATTCACTTTCAAAGTATAAGCAGGTGCCTCAGCAGTCTCCTCAGTACCACCCAACTGCTGAGCTCCCTGCTCACATACATATATTTCCTTTAAACAACTCAACATCACCAGATCCTCATAACATCATCACACGAAGTTTTGCTTAAAAGGATCTCTGAAAATCTGCTTATAACCTAAGCAGGTGACTCAGCAGTTGCCTTTGTACCACCCAACTGCCAAGACCACTGCTCCAATTAAACCTTACTTAAGTACTTTTTCAGACATCTTTCTTGCGTTCTAAACAACGTTTCACCATCACTTTCATCATAAAATCAATATTTCTCTAGCAGTTACCTCAGCAGCTTCCTGCTACCTAGTCAACTGCTAAGCTAACTGCCAAGCCAACAGCTAGCTATCTAAGTCCAATCTTCCCAAAATTAGAAAGTGGTCAAACACTCATTACATAAAGGGTAAAGACTTCCGCTGTGCATCTATTAATCTCTCAAAAGATTATAGATCAATTCATCTAGAGGGAAAAACTCCAAAAATTGAAAAAGACTTAAAAGTCTATTCACCCCCCCTCTAGACTTTTACCCTATCCGGGACCATCACCTCCAATTCTTGGTTTGCTTTGCACCACATCATTTTTTGGATAGTCTTTGTTGACACATTGCATTCCAACCTTGTTTCCGCAATAAGCCCCTCTGATGTTGGTCTCTTTGTGAATCGCTTAACAGAATTTACACAACTCTTCTTCTTTACTCATTACTAAGTGTAGGCCATTTTTTTGGTACACCCGATGGTGCAGGTAATTCCCCTCCATGTTGTATTTTTGTTAGAGAGGTACAAGTAAAGATCATAACTCCAACTTTGTTGTGAAGCAGACCGGTCATACAATCCATTTCTAGCCGGGGTAGCTGGAAGAAGTAAAGACGACGGAAGAAGCTTTAAATATGTGTATTTATAGAAGTTGGGTGTGCCATTTGTAATTGGGAGGGAATTTGCGAATTTGTGAAGGAAGATTTTCGCAATGATTTTTTTTGAATAAATGTGTCTTACCCCCACCCCCTAAGTATTCATTCACTCTCCTTCTACCCATTCGAGTGTAACACATAATAAAGCAAGGGCAAAAGTGGAAAGTCAACTTTAAATTCAATTCTATCTAAAACTTCTGAAGTCAAAGGAATTACTTGTTTTCAGAGGGAGTACATCATGATTAAAACTCAATGTTTTAGATCATTTAGTTTAATTTAGAGAACCTCTTGATTAATATCTCCTATAATTTAACCTAATTCTTTAGAGCATTCAAATAAGTGCTTTGCAAGGCTAAGTGAGTGTTTACTTTTTTCTATTAAATCTTTTCTGGATTAATATGTATGTTCAGATTATGACTCTTTTTGAAAATACCAAAATTGGTTGAATCTGCTGAAATTGATGAAATTTTGTCTAAAGTGGCTAAATCTACTGATTTATAAAAAAAGTATGTTTAAAATATATTTTATTAAACAAATAAATAGAAATTGTTTGAAAATATCTAATATAATCTTTTACAGTACCTTCATCCATTTCAGATAGAAAAATGACTCTAACTTTACTTATTTTGAGTATTACACAATTAAATGCATGAAATCAAGAGTTACACGGATGTTTGGTAATAAAAAATCCCTTCCGTCTAATTAACTTTTGAATTATTTAAAATGTTTCTAAAACTTTTAGTTGTATGTTTTATAATTTATATGGCAACTTTTAAGAGTTTTTTTCCAAAGTAAAAGATCTTATTGTAGAAGCTACATTGAGTAGACTCTGGGAGAAAGTCCATAGCCTTTAGAATTTATTAATCACAACAGCTTGTTTTACCAAACATGATTAAATCAAACAGTAATTTTTTTATCAAACAATTACAACCCTTTTGTTTTGAGATAATCTTTTCAATTTTTAAAAATTACTCCCTCTGTCCCATAAACTTGGCAAAATCCCTTTTGTTTGCCATCCGAAAAATCTTCGTTCAAATATGTGGCTAAAAATAAATTTGTCTATTTATTTTTAAGAAGAAAAGTTTACCCTCTGGAACTCTGGAGGAGAACCGTCGTTCGGCTGTGATTTGATCTTGTGCTTGGTGGAGTTTATTGACAATTGTTTAGCATATTCGTCATGAAGTGTAGATTTTGTTCACAAAATTTCAGGTTAAAATTCGATTTGGAAGTCAGCTAAATAAATTATTGAAAAATATTCTGTTATATATATTTATATTTTGTAGACATAATTTCAGTTTTTAATTGACTTCCCGATCGAATTTTTAACTTAAATTTTGTAGACATAATTTAAACTTCATGTAGAACATGATCACATAATTTCATTAAATAACTCCATTGAAAACGCGTCAAATCGTGGTGGCTGGACACCGGTTCTAATCAGGAAGTCTTGATCAGAAGATTACTCATACTCTAAGATTGGTTTACTAAATAGTGGGTGGGGACAACTTTAAAAGTATTCCTTATCTAATGAAGCAAGGAACCAGAAGACCAAAATTAGATTCAGGAAGCAGGATCATGAAAAAGCAAAGCTTACTTACTGAGCATCTTGTATGGAGGTGAAACAGGCATCACTGTATTTCTTCCTTGGAAAGCTGTTTATGACAAAAGGATCAAGACCATTACCGCCGCGCTCTATCTGTGAAAAAACAGAATGAAAGAGGCTATATATTAAAAACAAGAAACATAAATCAATAATCAGCAAGCATAGATCTTTTTTAATTGAAAATAAAAAGTGGGGAAGAATTAATATGAAATTATAAACGGAGGAAAAGGGTGGAAAGCTCAATAACAAGTATATGTATGGACATTATGGAGTGATCTTACAATGGTATGATCAGAGGGATTGTAGTATAGAAGAATCCTAGCACAGATAAGCCTGGCGCAAACATAAACTATGAACATGGAACTTATACCAAACGCAATCGCTGTCATTACTAAATTGATCTCTGACGACGCCATTTTCAAGGATTCTTCCACAGAAAAGACCACTCCAATAGTCCAATTCTTGGCAATTTTATATTGTTTGAATGACTGATCATTAGTTTACTTTGACTTAAACGCTAATAAAAATGCAGCTTTCTAGGAAGAGTACATTCCTATAAATAAGCTTTCAAATAGAATCTGAAATGTGACCGTGAGAGGCGAGGTGACACGGCCCATTGTTTTCCCACAACTGATAAAAGTGGAATCACACATTACTTGTCTTATTTTTGTTTTTAGATTATCTAAAAAATTCGATTCAAGTGAGAATAAGATTTAAGAAGAGAAATGAGAACGGTTATGGAACGTTGGATTAGGGAATGATACATTATGTGAAACAGAAATATGAAAGATCATAGATTAGTTTATGTTCATTTGAATTGTGGATTGGTTTAATCATAAATGTGCACATTTGAACTTTGCATTATTTTAACTCTAAATGTACACTTTCTTGAATCATAATGTGCATCGCTTTGAAGTGTTCTCATTTCTTACGTTAAGAGAGTGTTCTCACTGGAACAATCCTCATCCTAAAATAAGTGTCTTATTTCTTTTTTGGAAAGAAATACTTGATCCACAACATTTCACACTATCATACTCAAATCTCAATCAAAACTTCTACTCTCTTAATTACTTTATTAATAATTGTGACAAACTATAACAGGACACATTCAATAAAATGCTATCTATATAATATAATAAAGAAAACCCTTGGAGAGCTCATTAGATGAATTCTTGACATGTGGCAACATCCTTTGTGTGAAAAAATGACATGTGGCAACACAATAAATTAAAAAAAAAATATTCAACTTCTAAAACTCTACTTTTATGTATTCCAATATTATATATATGTATTTATATTTATAGATGTATATATATATATATATAATAAGTATATTTGAAAATAATTTTGGTAGTCAAATATAAATAAATATTTATATTTAAATGGACAGGAAAGGTTGAATTTATTTTTAAAAAAAATGTCACTGCATTTTTTTTATTTATGGTAACACATATTTCTACTTCACATAATGCACAATTTTCAAATCTAACGTTCCGGTTCAACATTCCGGTTCATTCTAATTCTCTTCATAGATTGCATTCTCATTTGATCACCCAAATTTATATACTACGTATAAGAAACTAAAATACTAAGCACACAATACTTGATAAGTTTAATTTAAAATATTATTAAATCATTGCTATACTAAAATTTGATAATTGTTACATTGTACTACCTCCGTCTCACTAACATTGGGACATGAGGTGGTGACACGATTATTAAGAATAATGAGTTTATGTAGTTGACATTGAATTGATAAAGTAATTAAGAATAAAGTAAGAATGATTTAAAACAACATAAATCTTACCTAATTTTGTATGAGACAGTGTTAGAGGGACTAATCGAAAGGGAAAGCTAAGAGAATCTTAGCAAGACGAAGGGAGTATCTATCAAAAACACTCATTGGACAAAAATAAAGATGCAATTTACATCTTTTGAGTAAACATTTGTAAACAATGACTATTAATTGTTAAGATATTTTTTTCAACAATAACATAAAAAATATGCTAGAGAATTTTTTTTATGGTATAGTAATTTATTTGAGTAATTAGTATATATGGAAATAATAGTTCAACAAGGGTTGTAAAATAATAAGTATATTTGAAAATAATTTTGGTAGTAAACCATCAACATTGAAGACAAAAAAATTAAAAAACATATGTTTATATTTTGGGTTACTCACAACCTGCGTGGGTCAACTCACTTAACATGCAACCCGTGCAAGTTGACCCACGAAACCAGTGAGTTCATTGGGTAAACAAATGACAACTCTTACCTACCATGAAATGAGATGAAATGGGCTAACCTAGGGATTTTGACTCATTTTGACAACTCTATCCACAGTCAAGTGAATTTTCTTTTAAACTTTGATTGAAGAATTCACATAAAATTCATTTCTCTTAGAATTTTAATAAAATCTTTAAGTTCATATTTTGTCGTGCGGTGCACGGATACACATACTAGTATGTATAAATAAAGTAAGAGAATTTCTGACGCAATGTCAAATTCAAAAATAGGAGTGCGATATCCCATCTTAATACGAGTAGATTATTATCATCATTCTAAAATCACCCTATTGACATTATACCTACATTAGCATGAAACTATTAGTGCAATAATTGGAAGTAATTTTCAAACAGTCATAACACTCGTTTAGAAAAAGATCGCGTGATAAGTGTGTATTCGACCGAAAAAGGTAAAGTGTGAAGTTTTAATTAATAAAACCAATAAATAACTTATAAAAAAGATTTAAATTTATAACTCAATAACCCTAAATAAAAATACAATTTTATAGTGATTAACCGTGAAAGTATAAGACAAGTGTGAAACTACTATGAAAATTGTTGAAGCAAAAATCATCAAAAATTAAAAATAAATTAAATAGAAAATTATGAAACGAGAATCTAGTATTCCACATATTTTAAAATAGACGAGAAAATTTCAAGCTAAATAAAAAATATTTAATCTCAAATTGATTTCGCTTTTTAAAAATAGAAATAAGTAAACTACTTTCTCAATTAATCGTAAGGATATTTTTATACGGACATAGAATAATTTCTACTTTGATATGATATGTTTATGTATGATCTGTTCTGTTTCGGTTTGAATCAATTCTGGTTTGAATTATTAGTCTTTTCTAGTATGATAGAAGTTTATTCTACTTATATTTTACCGTTGTCAAACACTGATTTAGAGCCCGTTTGATAACACTGAAAATTGGCTGAATCGGCTGATTCTGCTGAAATTTATGAAGTTTTGGCAGAAGTGGTTGGATCAGCTGATTCTACTGATTTATAAAAAAATTAAAATATTTGTATTAAAAAGATAAAGAAATTATATGAAAATAGCTAAAAAAGAGTCTCTATAGTAACTTCAGTCAATACAGTCAGAAACGTAACTTTAACCTTACTTTTTCTTCATATAATTTAAAATTCTACGTGTGAAATCAAATGTTACTTGTTTAATAAAATAGTTGATTGATAAGCTGAACAAGAGTCGTTAATTCGATTTGATTTGAATTTGTACACCCGTTTGATTTGGAGTTCATAGTCGTAGATTAAGAACCCTTTTGGTAACATTAAAATTGGCTGAATTGGTTGATTCTGCTGAAATTTCACCGGGAAGGGCCTCTGATGGCCTCGGCCGGACGGAGCTTCCTGTCCATCCGGATGAACATGATCTTTTTCCTATATATATATATATATATATATATATATATATATATATATATATATATATATATATATATATATATATATAGGGTAAGGTTCAAGTGAGAAGAACCCTTTAGGTGAGAAATGAGAATAAATCTCAACCATTGGATTTGACTAAGTTACAGTAAAAGACACTTGATGATGCACTGAAATATGCAATCTAGCACGGTGGCATTTCTGTAAATACTTCTGAAAAATCCGTATTAGACGTGTCTAGTGCAACATGAAGCTATTTCGGTGCAACACCGTCAAATATTAGTGCAACATGAAACAGTTTTAGTGCAACATGTGCAAAATTTAAATATCACTGCAACATCAAATCATTTTAGTGCAACTTCGCGAATCTAATGGCTGAGATTCATTCTCATTTCTCACATTAGATGCATTTCTCACTTGAACCAATATATATATATATATATATATATATACAGAAATGCTCAGGTCCCTCCGGAGGGACGGGAGCAGCCGTCCGAACTTCACTATTTGGGGCGGTTCCCGATGGATTTTTTCGATGAAATTTTTTGAGCATGTTCCTCATCAAGTCTAATTTGTCCATACCAAATTTCAGCTCAAAATTCAACCGGGAAGGCAGTCAAATAAATTCTTGAAGCTTACTGCACATTTTGTGCATATATAAAGTGCAGTAATGTATTTGTATTTATTAAAGAATACATGCTCAAAAGTGCAGATATAAAGTGCAGTAATTTTATAGACTTTCTAATAATGACTTGATGAAGATTTGTACTCATGTTGTCTTGAGGCTGAATCCAAATGCTTTGTGTTCTGGCCTGAGCTCTTGGTCCTGTTTTCGTAAAGGAAATGCTACATCTAATAACTCAGGAGGGGGCATGATGAGAATGCATACCACGTGAGTGGATACTGCTATGTGCTATAAACAGGACCCCACGAGAATGGGGTCCTGTTTATAGACCCCATTCTCACTGTAACATCGCATGGGAAAATCTATAAAATATTCATATTCTTTACACACTAAGAGTTTGTCTGACACAATTACCTAAAAAGATACTTTTGCGAGTTTTTTAGTAACTGATAGCTTTTAGTGACTGAAAAGATCTTAAAAAGAAAAGGTGATATCTGTTTGATAAAAAGCTGACTGTTTGATTTAGTTTGGTTTGGTATACAAGCTGTTAGGACTAATTAATACTAAAAGTCACGGGTTTTTCTCAGATGCTACACCCGGTAGCATCTCAAAAAAGATCTTTTAATTTTTGAAAAACTTTTAAAAAATGTAATGTCAAACATACAACTAGAGTCTTTTAAGGTCTTTTTAAAGAATAGAAAAGCTAGAAGCTAGAGCTTTTGTGTGCCAACACTATTGATATTTAGTTGCAGTTAAGTTATGAGGCCGTTTGGAACACTGTTTTTCGGCTTATCAGCCAACTTTTTCACCAAACACGTAACTTTTGCTTTCGCGTGCTGAATTGTGTTACTGTAACTGTATAATAAGCAGAAAAAATAAGGTTGGAGTTACTTTTCTGGCTGTATTGGCTAAAGTTACTGTAGAAGAACATTTTAGCTATTTTTACATATAATTTTTTATTTATTTTATTAATGAAATATACATTAGAATTTTTTTTTCTTAAATCAGCTGAATCAGCCAATGCAATCACTTCAGCCAGAACTTCATAAATTTCAGCGGAATCAGTCAAAACAGCCGATTTTTATGCTACCAAACGGGCTCTATATGTATGCACTTCAAGCAAAAAAAGGCGACTTAGATCAATATTATATTTAAGGGAAATTTACTAGGATATGACTAAAACTCAATGAGTTTCTCAATCT